AGATGGTGCTATCCGGCAGAGAGCTGGAAATAAAGGCATGGAGCTCAGTAAGGTAAACAGCTAGACAAGATCTGAAGGTCATCGGTAAAAGGTGGTGCTGGTTGAAACCACGGGTTTCATCAACATTAAAGAGCCAAGCAGAGGGAGAGAAGGTAGTAGAGACCAAGCAGCAGCAGCTGGGCAGAGGAAACTAAAGGGGTGGGGGACAGAAGCCAACATGAAGAGACTCAAGGAAGGGGTACTCCGCAAATGCTAACAAGAGTTCGAACAGGTTAACAATGAAAAACAGGCCAGGAATTTCGCAATTAGGTCAGTGGTGACTTAGCAAGAACAGTTTTACTAACTACCTCGGACCAGACCACAGTATAAATGTGAAGTAAGTAGAGTGGGAGAGCTTACTCTTTTTAAGATATGTGCTGGTAAAGAAAAGAAAATATGCAGCAACTTAAAGTGGAGGAATAAGGAAGTGGCATATTATAAGCACATGCATAACTTAACAGAATCAAGTCACTGAGAAGGAACAATGAAGTTACAGAAGGAAAGAATAATATAAAATCCCACAGGACGAGATCAGGACAAGAACACAGGTGGTAGGGCTAGCCCTGGAGTAAAGACAGCTATTTTTAAAGGAGAAAATGTAGAAAGGATGAGTGAATAATATATTCAGAAGTAGAAATTTGATAGAGTTCACACTTGATGGCCTTCGTTTTCTGACACTGAAGGCAATGTGTTGCTAAGTCTGTGAAGAGGATTGATTCTGGAGTTTAAAAATTTGTGCAGGATAAATTATAGTCCAAGAGAGGAAATAAAACTAGCTAGAAGCATGCTGAAATGATCTTGATTCTAGCCCAACATTCTTACTGTTTTACTGTAATTTCATAGTAAAAATTTCAGAACTGGACTTTTAAGAGATCTTCTCTAAGCCCCTTCCTCTTCACAGGACACATTTTATATACTGTTTACTGCCTGCTCCTCACTTTCTGCCACCAAAACACATATATATTGCCCCAAGAACAGAAACTCCATGAGACCAAATACCTCGTTTGTTTACTCCAGCACTGGGAAAAGTGCCTAGCACATAGTAGGGACCCAGTAAATATTTGCTTACTGAATGAAGGAAAAAAAGATCCAGAGAGAGAAGCTACTCAAAGTCAAAAAGCTAAGTAGCATGCATCCCAAATCTATCAACACTGATCCAGTGCCATTCCCACTTTGTACCCTCTTAGACTCATGTCCATATGATCTTTAATTGTTCTGTTTCATGTCTCCCTCCATGTGCAAGAAAATACCACGATCCATCCTCAATCACTGCCCCCTTTCTCCCAATTTCAATTCACTGATCACAGTAACAAACCTGGAAAATCAAATTTGTCTATAAAAAGATGAATTCTAGGGGTGCCTGGGTGGCTCAGTTGGTTAAGAGTCTGTCTTTAGCGAAGGTCATGATCCCAGGGTCCTGGGATCGAGGCCCGCATCAGGCTCCCTGCTTAGCGGGGAGTCTGCTTCTCCCTCTCCCTCTGCCCCCCACTCCCCCTGCTTGTGCTCTCCCTCTCTGTCAAATAAATAAAATCTTAAAAAAAAAAAAAAAGGATAAATTCTAGAAATGATATGAACATGAATTACATTTTATAGAACACTAACCAAATCTGTAGGTTCATCTTCTTCCACCTCTGCTTCATCATCTTCATCTTCAATTATTGAATCTTCCACCGTTTCTTCATCTTCTGTAAGATCCTGAGCTGTAGCTAATGAGCCTAACAATAAAATACAAAACAAGCAGTTAACCTTTACCCCTGGCATACCAGTGCTTTTTTAGTCCCAGGTATAGGCAATACATTTTTCCCCTTGGAGTAATTCAATTTCCCAGTTCCCTTGAAAGATACCAAATTACAATGCATCTAGAATATTCATGATTTTATCTTATCGACAGTCTTACCAACAGTATGTTAACTTTAATGGGAAATGCTGTTTAATTTTCAAAAGCACTTAATTGTTGGGAAAATGAACTGCTGAAACTAAAGATGCCTTGAAGCTCAAATAAAAAACTTTAAGTTTGTTTTAAAACTAAGACACTCCAGGGGTGCGTGGGTGGCTCAGTCGGTTGGGAGTCTGCTTTCAGCTCAGTCATGGTCCTAGGGTCCTGGGGTCAAGCCCCACATCACCCCCCCTCCACCGCCCCATTGGGCTCCTTGCTCCAAGGGGAGCCTACTTCTCCCACTCCCTCTGCCCCTCCACCCGCTTGTGTGCACATGTGCGTGCTGTCAATAAATAAAATCTTATTAAAAAATAAAAGCAGCTCCAAAATTTAATCCTATTATTAACCATACAAAAAAAAAAAAATCCCTTCTCAGGTCTAAAATTGAGAAAATAGCAACCCCAATAACTAGGCAAGAAACATTTATTAAAGTTGACGACAGCTCCAACTCTTAGAACTTGATAGCATGTAAGTCCAAGGAACAAATATTTATATGGCATCCACGGTAAAAACTAGCTTGCATAAAGCACATCTGGTAAAATAAAAACTATACTGCCAAATTCAGGGTTGATAGCATTGAAAGCATGCATCTATTTTTGCATATGGCTTCAAACATGTTTTAAGTACTTTATTTCCCCTACACTTAAAAACTAAGCATAACTGAGGCGCCTGGTGTCTCAGTCGTTGAGCATCTGCCTTCGGCTCAGGTCGTGATCCCGGGGTCCTGGGATCGTGCCCTGCATCAGGCTCCCTGCTCCACGGGAAGTCTGCTTCTCCCTCTCCCACTCCCTCTCTCGTGTTCCCTCTCTCGCTGTCTCTCTGTCAAATAAATAAATAAAATCTTTAAAAAAAAAATTAAGCGTAACTGTAAGGCCAAGAAATTATAATTTTATAGGCAAAAGTTCTCTAAATAAGTCATATTAAATCTCAGGCAAGACACTCAAAAGAAATTTCAAAGTTCTAGTGACTCTTCCAACATTTCTCAGAAAGAATGATGATGTGGCAATTCAGGAGGGGAAAAAATGTGGGAAAGGAAGCATGTGTACATGCTGCAATACCCAGGAAAAACAGTATATGTTAAGGACTCTGCATTTTAAGCCTTTTCCACTTCCTTGAGTTTTTACCAGCTAAGATTTATGTAAAACATTAAAGAACACTAAGCCACACATTATGAACTAAAAAACAGCTTCTACTGTTTGCTGAACAAAGACAGTGCATTCATAATTTACAAGTCATTTTCTAAAACCAATTAAAAAAATACCTACCCTGACATAATTTTAAGTTGGACTTAAATTTCAAGACTAAATATGTACAACGGCTTTTCACCCTACATTTCAGTAGGTATTAATATTAACCAGTAACAATTTTGTGCCTAAAAAGTCTAGCAATTCTCAATTGGAATATTAAGAAAAAATATCCTTTGAAAGAAAGACCATTCCTCACAAAAAAATGTTTAAAGATATCCAGTTAGGTTTAGATACAATTCAGGTTTCTTTTTTCTTTTTCCCTTAAAAAAGAAAATGTTTTCAAACCTGAAAAACATATTCTGGATTCTAAATAAGTACAACTATCAAATTTCCCTTAAAAAGCCAAATAAAAACAAACCAGCAAGCAACTCATAAAGGAAAAGAATCCCTCTTTAAACCTGCAAATGAATTCATTAACAGGTCTGGTTAATTCTCTCACTTGGTTTTCTAACCACTAAAAAGAAACCAGTCTCACTTCACTTTTCTTTGCAAAAGCACTCGTGGATACCTGTCACTATCATTCGTTTTGCCACAGAGCTTGCTTAAGCTTACAGAATGAAAGGAATTCTAGTGATCGTTTAGTCAGACTTTGACAGATTAGAAAACTGAAGTTCATAATAGAACCAGGGCAAAAAGACAAGTTTCCACACCTTTAATGTTCTGGTATTTTCACACCAGATTAACTGTTGGAAAAGAATAAACCGAAATACGCGTATAATGTCGAATTCGATCCCCCCTCCCCCCCCCCCCCCCCCCCGCCCAGGGCAATGCGATGCTTCTACAAAACAAAAAAACAGTTATAGAAAAAAGGAAGAAGAAAAATGAGGGCTCAAGTAACAGGCAGGATTCCTCAGTCGGCCTGGGAATAGGGGGGGACAATGCAGGCGAAGATGCGGAGTTTTTCTGAAATGAAGACTCCCGGTAACACACAGGGGTCGGGTGCTGATAAACAGGGAGATGACCAGAAAGGGGGTGGGGGGGCGGAGGTGCTCTAAGAGTTTAAGTGTGTAGAAACCACGGGTTTCAGCAAATGAATGAAGAAAGACTCCCAACGTGGAAGCTAAAGACACGTCAGCCCAGAGCGGATGGGGGTGGAGCGGAGGCGGCCAGAAGAAATACAACGGGCTGCAGCGCGCTCAGGGTGCAGCTGTGCCCACTGCCCCCTCGCCCTCTTCCCCAAGCCGAGGACCCACCAACTCCGGCCACAGCTGCAGGCGCGGGTCCCGGGACAGGGGAGAAACCCAAGGCTAGGGGCGGTCACCAAGCAAGGTCGCCCGGCACTGCCCCGCGCTCCGCGTGGAACGGGCAGAGGCCGCAGCGGGGTTCGGCCCGCGCGCGCTGGGACCCCCCCTACTACAAGTCGTGGGTCGGGGAAGGGGTGGGCAGAGGCTGGCGGGACGGACGCTGGACCCAGGAGCCGCTGCCGCCTCCAGCTTCAAACTTGGCTGTCGCTGGCGTCTCCTTCCCGGCCAAGACCCGCCGCCCACCCCCTTCGCCTCACCTCCAGGGCCGCTGCGGAGCAAGAGGGTAGCGGGGAACGCGAGCAAGAGAAGCAGAAGCAGGCGGGAGAGGACTCTCATGGCGCCGCCGGTCCGGTGTCCAGTCACCGCCCGCCAGTGCTCTCCGCGGCTCCGGCGGTAATGGCGTTACTCTTCATCCGGGCTCCCGGAGGGGGCGGGGCACGCACCACGCAGGGCCCTTGCCACGCCCCCTCCTCTAGCCGAGGAACGCCGCCAACGTGGCCTCTTGGCTCGGAGTGGTGGGGAGCGCGGGCAGCCCCGGGAGTCACGTGACCGGCTGCCCGGGGCTTCCGACCTGCCAGCGAAAGTCCGCCTCCGCCAGTAGTCGCGGGCTGGCCACCTGCAGTTTGTTGCTCGCCCCGCCCTGCTCGTCCTTAGGTCCCAATTAATTAGCGTCGTAAGTAGTTTGCTTTATTTGAATGACGATCCGCCTGGTGCCCCGGCGCGGTAGTCTTTGTATAATTTTAACTAATAGTGATAGAAGGGACATGAACTACCCGTGTGTGGCACTGAAAAGCAACAATGTTTTGTCATATATATTTGTTCAAAAAACGCAAAAAGCCTAAAAAATGGACAGTGGAAAACTTTGGCTCCTATCTGCCCACACCCTCCCCCATAGTTAAATAGTGAATGCTTAAATTCTTGACATTCCAGAATTATAAATCGTCTGGAACGGTGCCTGGCATATTGTAAACATTTGGCAAATATATAATAGAGGCAACAATGGCTGTTCAGTGTCCTTCACTTTCCTTCTCTTCTAGTTGGACTTTAGGTTGCTACCAATACTCTGGTATTTCATGCCATTAAACGGTGTGAATACCAAGTACTGTTGGGCTGGACCGGTGTGAGATATCATACGGATGATGAAACAAACTAACCTTGATTGCATGCTTACTTTTGTCAATCACTATCTCTTAGAGCTGTGCTTTCATGTATAATTTATATAATCTCTAAAAATCCCTATGAGCTGGATATTATTTACTGAGAAGAAAACAGAAAGGTTAAAGGCTTAAAGGCTAGTCAAAGGCAGATCCTGGCAGTCTGGTTCCAGTACCTGCTCCATGGCCTGAGCCATCTGCTGTTCTGTTCCTGCACTGGCTCTGCTCGAGGCCTCACTGGCCTGGGGACCCTGTATAAGAAGCGTGTGGCTGCTGTTGCCACTAATTCTGTCTGCTAAAATCACAGCCTGACAGTGCTGGGCTGAACCAACTCGGGTCCACGCCACACCACCGGGCCACCAGTGTCACTGCCACTGTCGCTGTTAAGAAGAAAACTCACAGGTCCAAAATGGCATCACTTAGGCCAGATCACCAAATCTGTACTTGATACACAACGTAACTGCAGTTTCAGCTTCCCCCAGAAACGGAGTCTTAACCAGTCAGTCGGGAATTTTCTGATCAGCATCAATAAGGAATCTTGTCACATGGGCCCTTCTCCAACCTCCAAAAGAAGGCAAGGTAATCAACCTAACAAGACAGCCTGTTCTTCCCCCTCAGGGGCAGGTGACTGTGCCTGAAACAATCCTTTCTTTTCTTTTGCTAATAACTTCTTGCCCCACCCTCCTTCCTATAAATCTTTCCATTTTGAACAACTCCTCCTTGGACCTGCCCTCTACGTGCTAGATGGGATGCTGTCCAATTCATGAATCACAATAAAGCCAAGTAGATCTTTGAATTTACTCGGTTCAGTTTTGGTCTTTTAACATGGCTGGGGCAGCCACTCTGCTGCTGCCTCCATTTCTGTGGGCCACGCCGTGCTAAAGCCACCAAGGCCACGGCCACGACTTTGTGGCTGAACCTTGGCGAGTGCTCTATTGGCAAGGGAAGACTGTCCCTCCCCAACTTTCTATTTCGTGAGTTTCAAATCAGGCCTTTTCTGAGTTCCTGACGTCTGACAGGCTTTTTGACAAACGCATCCTTCTATTTAACTTGCGGCAGTCTCCTCACACCAGGAAGTGTGAACCGTGTAACAGAAAATAGATGTTATACAGTGCTCAATATCACCTCTTCTCTCCTTTCTGGACCAAGGATATCTCACTGACTCCTTCCCCTTCAGAGGATTGACTTCCAGTGGGGAGGATTCTCATTATAATCAAAATGAGATTCCTAGTAGGTCTGTCTCCCCAGTTCTCAGAACATCTTTAGACATAGCCTGAACCAGTAAGGATAATCCAGTTTAGGCTTAAACTGGGACTGCCACACCAGGTATCAAATGATTACTAATGGATTTTATTTGGGACTTGAATTTTAGATAACCAGCTGCTAAATGCTCATCAGGGACAAATAAAATGTGCCTACTCTGGATGTGACTGAGGTGCAGAATTTAGGGAAAATAAAAACATGCAACCAGAAAACAAACATATGTGACTGTGCAGTTGGTATAAAAATAAAAAGTAGTTGCCTGTGGATCAGGGAAGTAAAATACTCACCCTGATCTGGGTGCTCACAAACCTTGTATTATGATGATCTACATTCTCCCTATAATAAGCTCTCCCCCTTAGTTGGTTCCAATCCTTGATTCATGGAATTAAGAATCTATCTATCCACTAAGCACCTGGCTGGCTTAGTCAGTAGAGCATGTGACTCTTGATCTCGGGGTTGTGAGTTTGAGCCCCATGTTGGGGGTAGAGATTACTTAAAAAATAAAATCTGTAAAAAAAAAATCTAATTTATTTAGGTCTTTCCAAATATTTCCCCATGCTCTCCCTCTCTCTCACCTCTGCACCTATCTCTCTAAAGATACTCGTTTTCCAGGAATATACCACATCCGGTTATTCTCCTTTATATGGCTTAGGCAGATCTACAGTTGATTTTCCACTTTTGTCATTTTATTCCCTTGGAATCTGTAGAAGCAGAGCCATCTCTTCCTCTGATTACTTAAGAGTTCCCCTCAGCCTCGTTGGCAAATGGGATCATTAAGCACCAGTTTTTGTTCTGTTATATTCCTCCAGATTACCACATAGCTGAGGAACTTCCTCCTGCCCCTTAAACTTTTGCTCAACTGTTATCTTGTTAGTGGGACTTACCTTCACTGCCTAATTTAAAATCACAACTCTCCAACCTTCCCTCCCCCACACTCTCTATTCCCTTCCTTCTATTCTCCTTCATTCATGGCACTTGTTACTTTCTCACACAATATATATAGTTGATTATGTGTCCTGTCTGGAAACATCTGGAGGCCGGGGATCTTTGTGCCTTTGAATCAGTGTTACAGAAGAGTACTCTCCGTGGTAACTCGGAAAATATTTGTTGATGTCGTTGTATTGCTACAAGTGACATGTTTTCTCCACAAATTTGCGACCTCAGTTTAATTGTAGGCTTAATAAGAAATGAAAAAAATGTCAAGAAAAAAAAAAGAGTGTGTTTATTGCATGCAAGCAAAGACTTAAGTGTTCTTTCACCTAGCAAGGGCTGAAGAAAAGAATTGGTTTCTTTGTGCTATCCTTTACCTCTGAAAGAAAATCCTCATGGAAAGGGGGCACTACAGGAAAAAGAGACAGAAAATAAGGAAGACTTTCAAAGGAGTCCTGGCTCCTCGCTTAGAAGGAGGGCTTATATTCTCTCCCCAGCCTCCCAGGCATTCTTCCCATCTGGTTCTCTTTCTGCGCAATTCACAGACCTCCCCAGCTCAGATTTCCTTGAAAAGAACCAATGGACAAAAGCAGTCACCTGATCACTGTCCACAAAACCTGCTACTTACCTCCATTTGTACACTTGGGCTCTGCCTTCCTTTCTGTTACAATAAAAAATGTTCATAGGCCCACAAAGGGCATCCACCATTTGTGCTCTGTGTCCTATTTCCTGCTCAGAAACGTGTGATTCTGAGAATAGCTCTCTCTTCTCTACCTCATAATAAATTTCTACTTTTCCAATTCATTGTTCCTATCAACATACAAACATACTGTAATATTGCCCATCTTAAAAAAACAAAACTCCCTGTGGCCCCTGTTCCTCTTCAGCAACAGCCTCATTGCTCTCTGACACAGTAAAACTTCACTATCTCACCCTTCAATTTTCTTCTCCACCTATTCCAACTAGGCTTTTATTTTCACCGCTAAAACATCTCCATCTTGCTAAATCACAAAGTCTTCATCTGAGCCCTGCCCCCACCCTTCTTTCACACTTGTTTTTCTAGGCTCAGTGACAACCTTATTCTCCTAGTTTTCTTCCCACTTCACCGGCCCCTCCTTCTCCTCTACCTGGCCCCTAAAAGTAGGCTTGTTGGAATGGATATACTATGTAAGGCGGCCTGGAAAACACTCCATCTACCAAATCAGAAGGAATGCACAGGTGAGAAGGGTTCCAGCCTCTCCCGAGACCAGTGGTGGCTGTCCTCTGGAGCCCAGGCTGAGGGTTAGAGATGCTGTTACAGAACGGGGCTGATTGCAATGAGGACGAGAGGATGAGAATGAACGGAGGCCATGTGGCACCCCTTAACCATCAGACACAAGGTAGGCTTAGTTATCACCATGAGCTGCAAAGTCTGAACAGGGGAGAGGAGTGGAGAACAGGCAGGAGGAGTAACCTGGAGAGAGGCAATAATTACCAATATTAATAATACTACCAACTTAGTGTTAATTTATACCATTAAAGAAATCAAGAAAGATCAAGAGGAGGCTGAGGGCAGTTGCCCAGTAAAGCCACAATCCCCTCCTCAGCTGGGCATGAGCCAATTCTCAATTCCAGAATTCAGTAACTGAAGAGAAGCCAGGGTGCTATGATGAGGAGCCCTGAAACACAATTCAGTAGTGAATCCGTCATCTTTCTTCAAGGGGACCTATGGACATTTGCTCACAGTAATCATGCATTGAGGAAAGGGGAACACGCAGACCTTTGGAGGATTGTTGGACACAAGTTCTAAACTGATGTTATATCCAGGACCTAAGTTGTCAACACAGCCCCCTTTTAGGGTAAAAGTATAAGGGAGCCAGGCAATAAATGGAGTCCCAGCCTGGGTCCAGCCAACAGTGGGTCCTTTAGGTTGTCAGACCCACCCATATTTGGTCCCTAAAAGTACAAATGGAATGGATATACTTGGTGGTTGAAAGAACCCTTACATTGGTTCCTAAGGGAGCCATCAGGAGTATTATGACAGGCCCCTGGGTGGCTCAGTCAATTAAGCATCCGACTCTTGGTTTCAGATCAAGTCGACCCCAGAGTCAGGCTCCACGCTCAGTGTAAAGTCTGCTTGAGATTCCCTCTTCCTCAGCCCCTCCCCCATTCATGCACACTCTCTCTCTCTCTTTCTCAAATAAATAAATAAAATCTTAGAAAAAAAGAGTATTATGATGGCTAGATGGAAGCTTCTCAAACTGCCACTACCACTCCCCTTCCCAACAGAGATAGTAAATTAAAGCACACCCAATCCCAGGGGAAGGGGAAGGTGTGTGCCACTCTGTCAAATTCCAATTTAATTTGCCAGCTGGCCCCTCCAACAGCTAGATGGATCATGGCAGATAACAGTGAAGTACTCCAAAAAGTAACCAAGTAGCAGCCTCAATGCCTCATGCTCAAGCCCAGCAGCTGATCACAGTTTGTCCTACTACCCCTTCTCTTGTATGTCCCCCAAGAACAAGATTGACCAGAATCCTGAGGAAATGGGGGGAGAAAGCAGTGATTGACTGCAAATAGGCTGGAGAAGATTTGGGGTATGTGTGATGGAAATATTCTAAAACTAGATTGTGGTAATTACCGCATGACTTTAAATTTACTTCGTAAATCACTGAGTTCTACACTTAACAACAGAGGACTTTTACAGTATGTAAATCATCCTTCAGTAAAAGGAAGAGTATGTTTAAAGATTTTATTTATTTATTTGTCGGGGGGGTGGTCACAAGCAGGGGGAGCGGCAGGCAGAGGGAGAAGCAGGCTCCCACCGAGCAAGGAGCCTGATGTGGGACTTGATCCCAGGACTCTGGGATCATGACCTGAGCCGAAGGCAGAAGCTTAACCAACTGAACCACCCAGGCGCCCCAGGAAAGAGTATATTTAAGAAGATATATTAGTTGTAGCAGTTCCTTGTATATTTATGCTCTATAGTTTTTATAACTATTTGTGAGATAATAGAAAATATATATACTGGTCTCTGCCCTGGCTCCTGGCATAGAGCACCTGAAACTTGTATATTCCTGCGTTGGGCTCTGTGTTCAGAACAGACTCTGCTTGGGATTCTCTCTTTCCCTCTCCCCCTCACCCCCAATAAATAGATAAAATCTTAAAAAAAAAAAACCTTAAAATATATATATTCTAATTGTTCTTCGTGCAAGCTTGGCCTTGCTAAATGCAAGAGGATCTGTGTTCAGTTTCACAACTCATCCCTGAGATACCATCATGAGTTCATACTGACTCCTAGAGTCCTTTGTAAACATTTCAGAGTGGAGCTGCTAGGTTTGAATTACATATGTCACTTGCTCATACACAGAGTTGTGTTTCTGTGGGCAAATATCACTACCTTTTAAAGATAGACATAATATACAAAATATTTACATTTTTACAATAATATTAACACAGTCCTATAATTGTTCTTAACATAACGTGTCTATGAACTCAGTTCTCACAACAGCTATTACAGAGGAGCCGGGTCTTGAACCTAAATCTTATGATTCCGTGGTGAGGGCTCTTTTTCCTGTAGCATACTGTCTTCCATGTGCTATAGTTTAGAGAAGAGTGTGCTAAATACCATTAGAAACTCTCAGGTGAAATAGAGGAGGGGCGCCAGGCTGGCTCAGTCAGTGGAGCCTGTGACTCTTGATCTTGGGTTTGTGAGTTTGAGTCCCACGTTGGGTGTAGAGATTACTTAAAAATAAAACCTTTAACAAACAAACACAAATAAATACACTTTCAGATAAGGATGAGGGTGACATTTAAATTAGGCCTTGAAGGATACAAATGTGTTAAATATGAGGAACTGGTTGGTGGGGGTGGAGAAGGGAGGAAGTTTAGTTGAGTTAGGGCAGGGAAGGTCATCCCCAGAAAAGGTAACAAGATGGGCAAAGTAGTGTGGGGCCAGAGCATGTAAAGCAATAGATGTGGGACTACAAAGTAAGAATCTGAAACTATGTCCTTAAAATGTAATTCAGTAAATTATGATACACACACACACACACACACACAAACTCCATGAAATATTATACAGCCTTTAAAAATGAGACTGGCATATTGAGACTGGCAATATGGAAAAACATTCATCAGAAACACTATGAGTTGAGATGCCTGGTTGGTTAAGATCAAGTGCTTTGTAAACTGTCAATCATTTCTCAGAAGGTATAACAGGGCCTGAAAGGAGCAACCACGATAGCTTTAAAGGGGAAGAGGACTGCAGGCAGAATTTTTTTCGGGCAAGAGCAAGAATTCAGTGACGAGTTACAAACTAAAGGTGGGAGAGAATCAAAACAATTGATGGGGCAAGTCCTGAAGAAGATGCGATGGGTCAGAATCACAGGAGCGAGGAACTAGAGGGAAGGAGAACAAAGTGAAGATAAAAACAGAAATTGTGAGGCAGAGAGGAAATTGTACCTCCTTGTCATATCCTGTGGTGAGAGCCAAAGCTTTGCTCCAAGGCAGAGGCTGTGCCTATTTCAAACCTTTGCCTCTCCCCTCCAGCCTCCAACTGCAAGAAGAGAGGGAAGCTTTCAGCCATGAGCTCCCACTTACCACGGCACAGTCCCTGGCTGCCTTGAGTATGCCTGTCCTGATCTCCTTTCCTCCAGGCTCAGCGGAAGAGGTGTCCCTCTTCCTATGAGGTGCTGGTGAATCGAGTCTCTGTTTCCTCCCCTAAGACCTTGACTCATCAATTAACCCTGCTTATCCCTTTATCTTTTTTTTTTTAATTTTTAAAAGATTTTATTTATTTATTTGATAGAGAGAGACATAGGAAGAGAGGGAACACAAGCAGGGGGAATGGCAGAGGGAGAACAGGCCTCCCGCCGAGCAGGGAGCCCGATGCGGGACTCGATCCCAGGACCCTGGGACCATGACCTGAGCCGAAGGCAGACACCTAACAACTGAGCCACCCAGGTGTCCCATCATCCCTTTATCTTTAGTCCCTTCCCTGGCCACTGGATCTTTCTCTGCATGTATTTAATGGCTTCTTAAATATCTGCTGGATGTTTCACAGCAACCTCACACTTGTGCTATCTTTCCCTGCAAACCAGCTGTCCCTCTTGTGTTCTCTACTTCAGTTAGGACAACACACCCAGTACCCTGCTGGGCTTCCCAGGTTCCTCAGTCCTCACCCCTGCTTTGAACAAATCCTTTTCACTTTACCTCTGACATTGCCGGACATCCTTATCTTCCTCTTTATTTTCACTGCCACGATTTTAGTTTCTGGTATCACTTTTCCTTGCCTGGAGCACTGTAGCCGTATCTCAACAGGTGCTCCTGGTTCTGGCATCACCCATCATCAACCTACCCTTTACACCACTTTTAGGGTGATCTTTCAAAATGCATATCTGACCACATCAATCCTCTACTTAAAATCTTTCAGAGCTTCTCATGAGGATAAAGTTCACATTATTTGGCAAGGCAATCAATGCTATTCATGATTGTCTTCGTCTCCTGCTATATGAAGAACGTGGGTTTTATTTATTATTTTTTTTTAAAGATTTTATTTATTTGTCAAAGAGAGAGAGAGAGAGAGAGAGAGAATATGCAGGGGGAGTGGCAGGCAGAGGGAGAGGGAGAAGCAGGCTCCAGACTGGGCAGGGAGCCCAATGTGGGACTCAATCCCAGGACCCCGGGACCATGACCTGAGCCAAAGGCAGATGCCTTAACTGACTGAGCCACCCAGGCACCCCAAACGTGGGTTTTAGACACGACTTGTGGTTCAGGGGATATAACACAGCGCCTATCGGGCCTCCATGCTTTGAATGTGCTCTTGCTTTCCCCTTCCATCTGTCTGGGGAATATCCAGTCAGCGATAGATCTGGCTCAGGTATCACCCTCTGTGGTTGAAATCTTCCCTGAGTTTCCCCGCACATAGTCCTGGGCCATTTCATCTATGCTTCTAGACCACCCTGGGCAGGTACACCAGCACCCCACTCTAGAACAGAGTCTATCTCCCTCGGTAGATGATATAGTCCCTCATGATTTTTGCCTGATTTTACATTGTGTCCTTGGCATCTAACACCGAGGCTGTCACATAGTTTATTGAAAGTCACTAAATGTGTATTGAACAAAGCACAGGCTTAGACTCTGTATCCTTGAGTCACGTACCAAAGGAGGCACATTCATTTTGAGACTACCTGCGGGAAAAAGATCATAAATGTCTAATAATATACATGGCAAAGATAGCACTTATGCACACGCTCCTGTTTGCAGACAACCTCTCCTAATCCTTCCTTTCCAACTGCTTCATCACATTCATGTGCGGATTCCAGAACTGCATTAGCCGTCGTTACGTTCATATTTGCCTTTCTCCTACCATATTTTAATTTTCCTTAGAGGATCCCCTAAAACTATTAATAATAGTGTATCTTTTTAAACTTGAATCACTTCCAGAACTTTCAGTGCTTAGTTTTCTGAAACACAGCACTGTGATAACTGCAACAGGCTGTGCATTTCTCATCATTTGTCTTCAACAGTATTGCAATTTGCTGAATTTGCGAAGTTAAATTTTCTGTTTCAAAATTCACGTAAGATTTGTCTTACAGAATTCCTCAGCAAAAATGACAATGATAATAATAGCTTTTATTTATTCAGCACTTCCTTCAAGGCCAGATATATATATTCTCCTTGTATTTTCCTCTTGTATTTACCTGAGTAATTTAAGTGCAAAACTAGTATCAGTGAGCTAAAATCATTTCTTCCCTTCCAATAGTTGATTAAACAGCTACCTCTCCATCCTGCCTCTGGGATTTATCAAAGGATAATATGTATGTATGTACATTTGTTTTTCTGATACATCTCACAAAGTCAGTTGTCACTGGTTCCTTTGTTTAAATTCAGAAATAATTGCTCAAAACTGTGTTAAAATAGATTTATGAGGGTTACATCTCAGACCAGTCCTCTCCTTTCATCTGGGTTTTAATTCCAAAGGATTTCAGAATTAGTGTCTTAAAATTTGGTTGGTAGTAGGAAGAGCTTGCCTGCTTAGAGAGAAAAAGGATGTCCTGCAGGGGGAACAAAAAGTTGAAATGAGATAAATTACTATTTTTATGTGTCATTAAAGGTTTGATATATGGAAGTGCTATTCTGTGTGAATGAAAATACACATTTGGAAAAGAAGCCACTGTATTCCCTGTTTATGCTAAAGTAGACTATGTTTCATTGTTCACGGGAGTAAATTAGAAGAAAAGTAATCACATTTTTTGGAATGTAAAATTTCATCATTTATATAGATTTTAATGTATCATTTGTATGATTGACCTGGGTTCTATACTTAGTAATAATGACTCTGCTCCTGGATTGGTTGACAAAAATGATTAATGTTTAATCTTCAGTCCTGTTTAATTTAAATAATTTCTATTTCCTTCTAAAACATCTGGCATCTAAAAATGAAAGGAAAAAAATGTATCTTTAATTTTTAGGAAACACAGGCATTCAGTGACAGAACAGCTGATTCTTGATTCCATATGGAATTCTTGCTTACATATGCAGTTCTTATTCCATAAACAGCTAATTCTTAAATACACATGGAAAAGGGGTACAACCTATAGATAGATGAACTTCTCAGATAATACCAATACTATATTTTAATAAATATTTTTGTTTGTTTTAACCTTTTTCCCATTAAGGAACGTGACAAGGAACAAGGATGGTTGAGTTTCATCTTCCTTGGTTTGGTTGCCAGCTGGCAGAATGAAGAAAAAGGAACAGAAGCAAGAATCTAAGTGATTCATGAAGTGACTTATCAGCACAGTATAACTAAGAATTGGTAGTATTAAGGTATTCTCATAACTCGACTATTAGAACAGCTGGGGCTCAGTGGGGCATATAGAGACATGCCCTTTGATTGTACCCCTCTTCCACAAGGCTATGCCACATATAAGCCATGGGTTTTCATGAATACATACCCTTGGCCCAGGGTGGGACAAGGGCAACAGTGGCTGTATCTTCTATTAAGAATTAATCCAGCATGGGTAGCATTGGTCCTGGGTCCTGAGTCTGTCTAACACTGCCTCCTATTTCGTACCTATTATGGGATAGGTGCTTGGGCACACCATAATGAATATGAGACAAGCCCTGCACTAAAAGGGTTCTAGTCAAGCTGGAGCTTGAGCTGGCAGGTAAGTTTGTGAGGTGGGAACTAAAATAAGGGGACACAAGGAATTGAGAGAGAGCATTCCTGGCAGGGGAAGCTGTATGGGCAATAACAGGAAGGCACAAAAATAGCATGTTTGGAAAGTGGCAAGTGGTTAGATATGGTTGGGTGTATGATGGCGAGAAGGAAGCAGTGAATGAGAAGACTGGGGAGGAAGGTGAGGGCCAGCTCATAGAGGACCTTATATGCTGTGTTAGGGAGCTCCATTTGATCCAGAACGCAGTGGGGAACCACTGAAGGGTTTTATGTAGAGAAGGGGCATCATCCTATTTGCTTCTGAAAGATCATGGTCTACTTGGTGGAGAATGGAAGGAAGGGGCACTAAACTAGAGGCAGAAACACCAAGTAGATGACTGTCATAGGCCACATAAGAAATAATGAGGACCTGAAATGAAGCAGTAGCTGCAGAGATGAAGTGAAGACACTGATAGAAGGGAAATGTCAGAGGGAGGGCTTCCCAGTTACAGGACGTACGATGATCAGAGGCCGAAGAGGCCTCATCTGAGGACAGAAAGGAAAGCTAAGCTGAACATTCCTGAAATTTAATCTTGTGCTACTGTGGAATTACATGGAGATATAACATTCTTTATAGTGATCATCAATATGACCTACCATGGTCAAGGACTTTGGATGATTTTCTAATCTTCTGGGCCTGTAGGAGAGAGAAAGAGAATGAGGTGAAAAACCAGGGTGGTGGCGGTGGTGGCTAGGAGGGCTAAAACAGTGAACCTAGTAAACAAGGACACCATTATTTAATAAATTCTTGCCCTCAGTTGCAAGGAGAAATTGCCACTTAGGATAGAACTATGAGACCCTAAAAGATCAAGCTTTTCAGTGTGTGTAATATATGGATCAGTCTCATTGCAATTGAATAAACATATTGAGCCACAGTCTTGCTGTGTTTTAACATTCTCATGAATTTCTTTGGGATAAGATTCTGGCTCCTTGAAAGTGATAAAGAACTAGAGACAAAAAAAATCTGAAACTATTAACGTGCTGTGCTCGCTTCTATCTCCTTTTTCCCCAGTCTTCCACTCCTGAAGACAACTGGCACCAGGAGCATCATAATTCTGAGATGGTGCAGGGGTAGTCTAAGGCACATTCCCATTGTTGAATTTACTGAGGCCCATGGGAAGCTTCGAGGATGGTGGCTGAAGGCTCCTGTAAGTCTCCGGTTTTCTAAGAAACAGCCTTGATCAGCTGGAAAGGGCCTTGTGAGATCTTCAGCTCCAGCTCACCCCCAGACTTCAAAGCCAGTCTAAATCTATACAAAAGGGCCTCAAATCCATTGTATAATTGGCTAGGTATCAATAAACAACTATCCGGACTAGTGAAATGTGTGAATTTATATGCTGATTTTCTTATTTTAAAATGATTCTGGGAAAAAATATTCCACAGTTTCTGTCAGCAACTCAGAGAAGATTCATAATTAGTTTAAATCAGCAATTACTGAGCATCTGTAATATGCCAGCCATCAGATCATATTCTTTCATATTAGGAATAAAACCCCTCATAGTTAATCTATCACTTTGCAAATACTAGTATAAATCTGCTAAGGGGGGTTAATTTTCAAAACATAGTTGTATTGCAAATGGTATGCTGAACATTCATGACTCACGACATAGTCAATATGCAACTTTAATGTCTGCCTCCTGTTTCTACTTTAGACTTTCTTCACTCAGGGGAGCTTTTCCTTTGCCATTGGCTGAATATGAAACAGGCCCAGTGAGGTTTTATGCTTACTCTAAGATAAGGTCAGTCCTCACTGTGCAACATGCATACAGTCTCAATTCAATAAGCAGAATGTCCAGTCTTAAATATTAATCCTTTAATCGTCATTCAAAAGTAGGATTTCTCATCCCCTTCTCTAAGCTAAGCCTTGTAGTTGGTGGACACCACCTGCCACTGGAAGTCAATTTCCGCTCTCTCTTGGTTCTCCACCTTCTCCATTTGCAGGAGGAGGGAGAAGAAGTAAGGGGATAGGACATTTTTACTTGGCTTAGTGGCTTCTGAGTCTCTGGGCTTGGAAAGTAGCTTGGAAAGTAGCTAAGCTGATTCTCTCTCTGCGGAGCTTGCCATGGCGAGGGACCTGTGTCCTATAGTTGCCCTTGACCGAGGCTGATGCATCTCTCTTCTGGTGGTCACTTGATAGTCCTTCATCAGCCCCTAAGAATCTGGCATTCCCTTCCAGGCTCTTGCTGCTGGTGTCCCTCCAGGCGGCTTTGGGCAGAGCCCAAGATAACTCAACTCCCTCCTGCTTGGTTCTTAACAAACTGTCACACACATCTTTTGTCCTGGTGACAAACTCAGAGAAAACAGGCCCCTCTGTGGGGCTACCACAGTTTGCTTTAGTTTTCTCAGGCATGGGGCATCACTGATCCCCTGTTTCCCAACTTTTAGGAAATGCAGATCAAAGTTCTCCAGGCGATCTTCTAGAAACCCTCTCGCCAGGCTTTAGATAAAAGAGGTAGAATCATTTGGGGGCAATGGGAGTCCACAACATGACAGATTCAAAGAAATTTCTTCTCCAGTCTTCCCTACTCTCTTTTTATATATTGGATCTGGCCAAGAGATATGAGTCATGAAACAGGTTCTTTGAAATTTCCTTCAGAAACTCTGCACACAGGGGAAACTCACTCTCACTTTAAGAACTGGCAACTGTTTGGGCGCCTGGGTGGCTCAGATGGTTGGGCGTCTGCCTTCGGCTCAGGTCATGATCCCAGGGTCCTGGGATCGAGTCCCGCATCGGGCTCTCTGCTCCTTGGGAGCCTGCTTCTCCCTCTGCCTCTCTCTCTCTCTGTCTCTCATGAATAAATAAATAAAAATCTTTAAAAAAAAAGAAAAAGAACTGGCAACTGTTTTATTAACACCTCAAGGACTAGGCCACGAAGAACCCCATTTTAACATCCTGCTATGGTCTTAATCAACCCCATAGGGTCTGTGCACATACCATGTAGTATCAAATCTACAGAAATAATGGATGGTAAGTTTAACATTAGTATAAGAAAATCTGGTCATAAAATACATATATAAGCTGTTTTGCTGTAGACAAAAATCTTAGCTCATAATCTTTATGATATCTTCCTTAGCGGTGATTGTAAGTTCCACGAGGGCAGGTATTCTGGCTTTCCAATTCAAGTTCTACAAAAAACTTTTATGAAGCAACTATTTTATGCTAGGCAAAATACCAAGCACTTGCATATAGTTTATCTTAAATTAAAAGAAGGAGAAAAGATGTATTATTTATATACTTATGTTTTAAAGTTAAAGACATTATTATTTAGAAAAAAAGAGAAAAACTTACTGTGGTTTTTTTTCTTGCTCTCTCTCCGGGCCTAATTAAGTCTTCCAAATGTTTATTTCTCTCTTCTAAACTGGAGGGAGAAACAATAGAATTTTATGACTAAAATTGACTTTTCTAAACTGATATTTTGTTGGACTCACTGGAGGATTTGAGAAGATGAATATAAATGGCAAATCTGGCTTTTTGTCAAAGTCTCTCATCCATCTACCTCACCATACGACAATTTGGGATTCTTTTTTTTTTTTTTAATATTTTATTTATTTATTTGACAGAGAGAGAGCACAAGCAGGGGGAGCAGGGAAAGGGAGAGAAAAGAGCAGACTTCCCGTGCAGCAAGGAGCCCAATGTGGGACTCGATCCCAGGACCCTGGGATCATGACCTGAGCCGAAGCCAGCCGCTTAACCGACAGAGCCACCCAGGCACCCTGACAATTTGGGATTCTTTCCTAGCAACTCCAATAATTTAATCAGTTTCTCCCTTTAGGGGTTCCAGTAGTGAGGAGGGAAAGTAGACAGTAGTAAACCTATAAAGTGACAGTTCAATGTTCTATTCATTTACACAGACAGTGGGTAGAGAACTGATCCCTGGTTCCCTGATTCCCCATGAAGAAACTCAACATCATCCTGGGGGTGTGTGTAACATGTTAAAAACACAGCCCCTGAACTGTGAGCTGCTTTAACATGGGGAAATGTGTAATAGTGTCATAGGAAGGATCATAGCACTCAGATGCCTGTTAGAGATTTACTTGTGTTTTACTTTTATGGCTTTCAACAAGAGAGATACCAGCAGGTTCCCTTTTTGCCTCTAGGAGGTCAAATTCAATTAAAATAGTCTCTTCCCAAACTTGCTTTCCCATCCAGGGACAGTTTGTTACTTTCCTGTGACTGCTGTAACAAATTACTACAACCTTGGCTTGGAACAACACATATTTATTTGAGAGGTCAGAGGTCTGAAATCAGAGGCACTGGGCTAAAATCAAGGTGTCAGCAAGGATGTGCTCCCTCTAGAGGCTCAGGAGGAGTATTCTTTGCCTTGCCTTTTCCATCATGTCTGGCTGCAGCCCTAATTCCTTGGTGCCTGGCTGTCAGCACATCGCCTTTTCTGCCTGATTGCTTGCTTGATCACATTGCCTTCTTGTCATCAAATTTCTCTCTGCCTCCCTCCTACAACAACAATTATGACTGCATTTCGGGCTCCCCCGAATAATCCAGGATAATCTTGCCATCTCGAGATCCTTAATTTAATCACATCTGCCAAGTCCCTTTTGCCAGATAAGGGCACATTCTCAAGTTCCAGGGAATTGAACTTGTATCTCTTTGGGAAGCCATTACTCAGCCCACCACAGAGATAGGAAATTCTCTTGCAGGAGTCATCACCTCAAATGCAAATGTCTATGGAAGACTCAGTATACAGAAATACAATTGATTTTTGTATATTGATCTTGTGCCCCCCAACTTTGTTAATCTCTTAATAGTCCTAGTAGCTTTTTGTAGATTTCATCAGATTTTCTACACAGATGATCATGTCATTTAAAAAACAAATTCATTTTTGCTTGTTCATTTTCAACTTGAATGTCTTTTAGTTCTTTCTGATTGCATTGGGCAGAACTTCCAGTACAATGTAAATAGAAGTCTTATTTCTGATCCTGAAAAAGTATTCAGTCTCTCATTATTAAGTATGATTTTTAACAGTACTTTTTCTATGGATGCTGCTCATAATTGAATGAGTTCCCTTCTATTCCTAGTTTGTTTGGAGTTTGTATCAGGAATGGCTTTTGTGAAATGTTTTTTCTGTCTGATCACATGCTTTTTCCTTTTTAATTTTTAATATGTTGTCTTACGTTAATAGGATTACTTCACATAGAGCTGACTTCCCCCTTTCTTTTGCCCATATAAGGTAGCGTTCACAGGCTTCAGGGATTAGGACTCGGATATTTTGTAGGGAGCCATGTTTTCTATATGCCATAATTATTGTTCTGCCCTTTACTTTTACCTCTCCTTTTTCTCATGCCAACCCTTTTTCATTAAAAAAGAAAAAAAGTCAAAGAAATACAATGGAATTATGACTATAAATAGAGCAGTGAACCATTGTTCACTATATTCTCTGTGATCAAGGTATTTAAACCATGGATTCTAAGATTTTATTTATTTATTTATTTGGCGGGGGGAGGAGCCGTGGGAGAGGGAGAGAGAGAATCTCAAGCAGACTCTGTGCTGAGTGCAGAGCCTGACACGGGGCTTGATATCATGATCCTGAGATCATGGCCTGAGCCGAAACCAAGAGTTGGACGCTTAACCGACTGAGCCACCCAGGCTCCCCCAAGCCATGGACTTTTAATAGCATGTTCAAGCCAAGCAAATATTGTTGATCACCCTGTACTCAGACTATAATGGAATTAGGAAGAAAGGTTATGAATTTACACTCTGGGATTTTCTGTGACTTCTGATTTGGTTTTGCATGGAAAAACATTTGTGGGGACTTCACGTGGGTAGAAACCACAGTTGCTATGAAAGGGCAGGAACTGTTATCTGTGAATCCAGTGTTCTCTGTAAGAGACATGGCCTTGGAGATATTCTTTGAGGACTCAGGGGGTACTCTATGGGTGGTAAATAGTGAATACATTAATGTAAAGGACACTGATAAGTGCCCTTAAAGCCTATATAGTACAGTCCATGATGGATAGACAATGAAGTGGAAGATCACCTAGAATAACAAGGTAGCATGGCTGGAGAAGATGGGAGGCCAGGACAGGAAATGAACTGAGACTTTTTTTTTATTACAACTTTCAACCCATTACTCCATGGATATTTTATTGTGCTCCACTTACTTATTCTTTAATCTTCCAATAAGGACGAACATATCTTCTCAAAGTTCATGCACATTTTTTGTAGGGAACTTTTGTTTGCTATTATAAATAGAGTTTTAAAGCTTGCATTTATTTACAGTGTGTTGGTCATGTACAGAAATTCGGTTGACTTTGGAACTTTTTCTTTTAATTGTCATTTTTACTAAAAATATCAGTAATATATCTGTAGATTGTTTTGGGCTTTCTGTGTAGGTAATTATATCATTGGAAAATAATAACAATTTTGTTACC